TCACCCTATCACATCATGACTATGATACTAAAAACTTTACACAAGCTTTATGTACAAAGATATAAAGTCCTATCTCATGTCAAAAAAAACCCGGAAGATTTTAAGGTATTTAGATTCACTGATTACAGGGCTGGAAAAACCCCTCAGGTTTGGCCATTTTACAAGTCAATAAATGATCACTGTGTTTTCATTAACTACTAAATGCAAAGCCAATCTCCTGAAGAGACTCTTCAGGTTTATACAAACAAAGAAGAATCCCAAACCTGTGTGAAAATGCAAGCACAAAAAGGTAAGACGCATTTGGGGAACTATCATAAAAGCCTGTAAGCCCAAAGTCCATTTTTAATGCTGCCATTATACAAAAAATAATTACATCATAAATATTAAATAAGTATTTATTGAATAATAATTCCTTTGTATCCCGTCAATCTTTACTCACAGGATATGTCAGAAATATATGTAGTGGTTGAAAAGTATTGGATCATAAAAATACATTTTTTTGCTCAGTATGGTTACTGGTAGATATGCTTTAAGCTAAAGTGCTAGAAATTAGTTTCTCTTGAGGCCAAGAGATATAGTGGAACAGACAGCTAGACTTTAGGGGAGGAAAGAAACTTCTTGCTATGCAGAACTGGTCCTGAAACCCTAGCTTGCTTTCAGAGACAAAGAACTAATGACAGCCAGAACCTGGTTATCTGGAGACTGAATGTTCCCTAGAAACTAACCCTGTCTTAGAGACACTTGCTTTCTCTTTATTTAATGTTCACCAACTCTTGGTTATGGACAGCACCAGGCATCATTATTCTTTCATGCCCAGTTTACTCAGTGTGGTCACGGACCAGTAGCACTGGCATCACCAAAGAGCTTGGTAGACGTGCAGACTCGCAGGTCCCACCCCAGACCTCCTCAGTCAATATCTACATTTCCACAAGACTCCAAGGTGGCTGAGAAGCACTGCTTCAATGGACAGAACAGGAGAAAGCAAGTCAGAACACGCAGTTGAAGCCTCAGATCTGTGACTTAGCAGGTGTTTAAGAGTGGCCAAGACAGCATTATTTTAGCCTTATTTTAGTTTCTTTGACTATAAACTAGGGGTAATATTAAAGGAGCTCACATACACACCTACTAAGGAGGGTTGTTTTAAGGATCAAATAAAATGAAAGATGTTAAAGGCTCTTTGTAAATTAGCACTGTACAAATATAAGACACTATTGTTAATAATGGAGCTTAATTATACCTGTCCTCATTTGATCCTCACAGACCATCAGAGAGCCATGTTGTTATATTATACTACATCTTTAAGATAAAAGGCTCCTTCATGTGTCACAAACCTTTTAAACTCTAATCATATGGTAGCTAAATCTGTTTCATTAAAGCCAATGCCGAGTGGGCTGCATAGAGACACTCTACCTGTAACACTGGCATTACCTTGTCCCAAACACTTCATCCTTACAATCCATACTTTTGGAGGCTTTACTATAATTTCCAAGATGCCAAACTAACTGGTTAAACCCACTGCCCACCCAAGAGCTGAGGTACCCTGGAAAAGGCTGCTCTTACTCAAGTCCTCGGCTTTTTTGGCTCATTATGTCATGGTCCCTTCTTCTCCAAAGCACTGAGCAGGGTTGTTTAATTTATATGCTGTAATTTATGTTAAGGATAAAAGCCAGCACCTCAGCTTTCTCTCTCATGGCCCTTTATCTTCAAAGAAGACTGTGCATCTTTAAATATGAAGAGCTTCCTAAACTGCTTCCATGGTATATCAAATGAATCCCCATGAGCTTCTTATACCAGGGGTTTGTTAACCAAAACTGGTTGGTTTTAAAATGAAAATCTACTAACAGATCAATTTACTTATTCATGAGATTCAATTTCTATCAAACCTAGAAAGTCACTTAGCATCATAAAATGCTACAACTATTAGCATTATAGAAGGACCACTGACTTTGCACCCCAAACCCTTTCTTAACCCAGAGGATAGCAGCTCCCCTCTCCTGTCTGAGGTGGGGTGCGGCCCCTGCTCCCACTGTTACACACATGCCACTGAGAACCTTACTGAGAATTCAGACTCCATGCAGGGGGACAGAAAAGGATTAACACATGCAACTGTGCAGCAATACTTTTAGACACAGTTTAACTTGAAAAAAAAAAAATCTGCCCAGCACAAGAACAATCCCCAAGTCAGCCCAAGAGCAGAGAATTAGTACTATCAGGTGATCAGAAAAAAAACCAAGGCAAACTCCATCAAATTCAACATTCAAAGTAATTAGCATTAAAAGGACCACCACTGATGCAGATTTAAAAACCACTACCAAGAGGCAAAGGTATCAGAAAAATCCTACTTTCTCAAAAACACACTCAGTTGTGATAGAAATAAAGCTTTGACTTTCAGACATAAGAGGCTCTGTGGATTGTGTTTCAGACTACAGCTACCAGGAGATTCAGTCCTCCACTAAGGAATGGAAGAACAGCACATGGCACCAGTGAGCCTGATAAGCTCAACTAGGAACCTGGATGGGGTGGGACCAGCTGCCCTTCCTAATGTTAGCAGACTCGGGAGAGGCTCCTACCAGTCTCTGCTGCTCCAACAGAAGATCTGCTTCCTCCTTTTCCTTTTTGTAAAGGATCTCCATTTCCTGTAGCCTGGAAGGAAAAACAAAAACAACACAAAACAAAACAGAATAAATGATGAAATCACCAATGTTTCATAAATGCTACTATGTCTAAAACAGTCACCTGGGCTGCACGTTACTTGTGCATTACCTTTTTTCCATCTCCTGTTTCATATCAATCCCTTGTTTCTCCAGGAGCTCTCTCTGGGCAAATGTCCAGTCCACAGGCTCAGAGGGGGTCTCAGCAGAAGGAGTCTTCTCCCGCTCAGCCCGCGCTTGCTCCGGGTGGTTAAAACGAAAAACATGGTTTTTACCCATGATGATACGGTTTCCTAACACAAAACAGAAATACGATTAAGGAATCGTTGATTGATTTTAAATACCCTTTCTTCTGTTATTTTCATTCTTTTGGGTTTTTGAGATAGCCCAGGATGGCCACAAACTCCCAATCCTCTTGCCTTAGCCTCCTGAGTAACTGGGATTACAGGTATGTGCTACCCCACACAGCCCTAAAGAAATCATTGTTTAAATCTATAGTATCTACTTTAATAATACAAAAAACACAGTTTTTGGAAGAGTCAACATTTAGAGTTGCTCACACAAACCATGTGTACACTGCTGAAAACCTCAAACATCCCCCAGTCTCACCTGAGCGGAGCTGAACAGGCTGGGCTACCCTTTTGCCATTCACGTAGGTTTCCGAGCGCTCACAGGGCTCCAGAGTCACGATAACTGAGGGAGCAAGAGCTCATGTCATCATCACAGCTCAGCGGGATCAAATAAAGGGAGGTAGCTTCCTATCAGGACTCAGGGAACTACAACAGATTCCTCCAACTACACATGTGGCCGAAGCACCTATCTTTATATGGCAGTTACTTTTTGGGCACCAGGATGAGTCCCAATATGAGGCTATATGGGGCTGTGGCTAAGATGAAACATTTGACTAAATGTGACAAATCTCAGAAGACGCATATAAGAAATATCTGACAGTTTGGTCAATAAAACTGAACACAGCAGAAATCTTAAGTATGGGTCACAAGTAATAACCAGGAGCTAAAGATTACAAGCTAGTACAGTATTGTGGTTACAAAAGAACTACATAATAAGAAAACAAAGTAAACTGAAGGTTGGTTAAGGAAAAATAATAAGCCAGCTCCCAAAACACCATTAGATTGTTGCTGTTTTGCTAATTACCTGGGCAAAAATCAAGACTGACTTTTTCTTTCCTTTTAGATAAAAATAAATTCTACGGGGTTAAGACTTGAGGTTCTTCAAATCTATTACCCACGGTATTTATTCTTCTCTTATTTTCTATTAAATGATTAATATTCAGGACCAAGTCTAATTGCCAGTGTCCTGCTCAGTTCCTGGCAGAGACAAAAGGGCTCCTTTTGTCCATGTTATTTTCATGTAAAGCAGCTGTGTCTGTCTCTGCATTTATAAGCAGCCCAGGTTTCTCCATTTTCAATAATAGACTGTAGCACAGAGACAGGGAATATCAAGTCTTGAGGATTTCTCATACTATAGGAAGCAAAAGTTGCTGGAGAAGCTCCAGCCAGGAATCTCACCTTCGCCACTGTTGTTTCTCTCGCTCCTGAAGATGCAGTGCTCCTCTTTAATGTGGGCCCCACTCAGCACTATGTCCTGGCGCCGGTCAGCATCTGCTTGGCCGACCCTGAATACAAGAGAAAGTGTTTCCCAGGGAAATTCCGACACAAAGAGCACTTGCAAACAATGAACCTCTTTCTCCCAAAGAATATCCTCTGGTATGTACAAAATCGCCCCTTTTTTGTTTTTGAGGGCAAATTCTATTCTCATATGTGGTCAACCTCCCTCATGAATTCATATAAGTTGTTAAAAGACAGAAAAAATTATTTAGGGTCCTCTAGAGAAAAATGTTCAGTGGTTCACTTACATATATAATTTGGAAAGAGAAGAGAAGATAGTCCGTAATTATTTCAGACAAGAGAAACAGCAAATTGTTGCAAAAATTTTTCGGCAATTTCCCTTTAGTTATTTAATCATCTAGGAGAAAAGAAACTATTAAATTATCAAAACCAGAAACAAACACACCTTGTAATCCCATCCTTGATGTAATAAAGCAGGCATTCAGACATTAGTGGGTCTTCATTGAGGTTAACAAGATGTGGGGTCTGAAAAAGATTAGAAGGGATCAACTTGAAGCCCAGCACACCAGAGCACTGTAGCAGCCACGGGGGCTGCAAGATGCCGGGTCCCCAGGCTTTCAGGTTCCCCACAGGCTCTGAAGAGGGGATTTTTACAAGGAGTTACAGCTCCACAGTGAAAAGAAGACACTCTCCTCAGGCCTCCCCAAACTGCACCAACAGTTTACTTAATGGTCTACTTAAAAACATGAGTTCTGGGATGAAGAACAGGACCCAGTTCTTGAGAAGATCCAAGCTTAGCATGCACAAAGGAAAATTAAAACACCCTGGTTCTCGAGATGGGTTAACTACAATTTATGTAAATGCCTGGGCACAAACCTCAAAAAAGATTTAATTTTTCGTTTACTTTTGTCAAAATGTCCCTACACCCTCTGCCATTTTCCTTTATAATTTTCAACAGTTCTTCCATGGTCCCAGGCATTGACTTTAGTTTATTAGTCTTTACCCTAAGGAAAAATTTAAATATTAAAATTATATTACTATAACTGATATTCAATAATATAAATATCTTCTAAAAATATTCTTCATGTAACTCTAATGTTTCTAAAATCTTTTTTAAAAACCAACCTTCCTTGGTGAAAAGACCCCATTGGAATCCAAAACTAAGTCACATGGTCCTGGGGCCAAAATCTACTCATGATAGTGTCAGCAAATGTAGAAAACTGAAAGAAGAGTCAGATGAGGGGTAAAGAAATGGAACTGCAAAGACAGTTAAATGGAAATTGGAACATCCTCTGAATCTCCATCAGCGTCCACCCCTGGAGTCTAAGGATGTGGCTGGACTGGGAAAGCAAAGCCCTCTTTGGCAGTATCTTTAAAGCCCAAGCAGGATCCTGACCTAAGAAAAAGAGAATCTCAGGTTCCACACTGAGTTTGTTTTTTTTTTTGGTACCAGGGATTGAACTCGGGTCGTAGAAGGCGGTGAAACCACTGAGCTAAATCCCCAGCCCCCACAGTGAGTTTGGATGTGGTCTGTGTTATATTCCTTTCTGAGGAAGTCTAGAAAACTAAAGCAGAGGGGTGTGGTGGTGCACGCCTATAATCTCAGCACTCCAGAGGCTGAGGTAGGAGGATCACCACAAGTTTGAGGCCAGCCTGGGCTATATAGTGAGTTCAAGGCCACCCTGAAATCAGAGTGAGACCTTGTCTAAAAAACAAACAAACAAAAAACTAACAAACAAACAAAAAAAGCAAGCTAAAGCAAGATGGGCAAAATTAAAACAAGAAAAGCTTTGGAAGCTAAGATCTCAGTACCGAATTTTGTACTGTTTATATCATAACACTGTGAAGTTACTTAAAATTCATATTAAATATCAATGTTTTTACAAGTAGTTAAAAATGTTTCCCTCACAAATTGTGTATGTGTGCATGCATTGCATGTGTGTGTGTGCTAGTGTGCCTGTGTGCTGAGTGAACCTGGCCTGTCACATATACTAAGGAAGCACTCTACTGCCGGGCTACATCCCAGCCACTCCCAGTTCTTAAGCAGTGAACACTATAAAATCCTTCAGATATGTGCAAAGCTACTCCACCAAACCTATACAATACACTTTTTTCTGTTTGTTTTTTGGGGTACTGGGGATCAATGAACTCGGGTCCTTGCACTTGTGAGGCAGGCGGTGGAACCACTGAGCTAAATCCCCAGCCCATAAAGTTTTGTTGTTTTTGTTTTGTTTTTTTTGTACTGGGGATCCAAACCTATACCTGCTAAAATTTGTGCAACTGTAAGTAATATATCTGAAAAAATATGTGTTACTGAAGAAAAGCTTTTAAACTGTGAAAAACACTGACCTTTATATAAACCTATTGTTCTAGTTCTGTAATACGTATCTAAAAGTGCACTTAAATCAATATTTTCTGTTGAAAATAACACACTGGAATTTATTTTTTAAAATGTGACCATGGGCCGGGGATTTAGCTCAGTGGTTTCACCGCCTGCTGCGCAAGCGCAAGGACCCAAGTTCGATCCCCGGTACCAAAAAAACAAAAAAAACCATAAAATGTGACCATGATAAAAACATCTAACCAAAAGAGTCTTACACAAAGCACAGGAATATTTTATACTGTATCCAAAGTACCAACTTAAGATTCCCTCCCTGCTCCTCCCACCTTAGGAAAAATCATGGTCAGAATCTACACAAGAAGGTGCTTAAAAGTCTCTACTGGCTAATTTGAAGTCATGTGAAAGGAAGAACCATTTATTAGTGGTATGAAATAGATGCTCTGTACATCAATATATGTTCTATTATTGTACCTAAACACAAAGATGATTTGATATTGCTTTTTCAGTATCCAAAATAACTAACCTGTACTCAGTTTTTTTAAAAAAGATATATTCCTATTTTAATTAGCTAAAAAGATACCAAACTATTCTATAACTACTTGAACTACTACAATTATTATTATTTCTTTTTTTTTGGTACCGGGGATCGAACTTGGGACCTTACACTTTCAAGGCAGGAACCAGAACCACTGAGCTAAATCCCCAGCCCCTCAACTACTGCAATTATATAAGTAGGAGAATAACCATTGGAATCATTTTTTTAAAACAAATGAGAAGAAAAGAAGAGTCTTGAAGGACTAGAATTGTTTTATTCAGTACAAGGTTGTAAGTAATACAAACCACGGAAGTAGTATTTTTCTACACAAACCTGAACAGCTGAAATTGGTTCCAAAAAGCTATACAGCAGGGCTGGAGACTTAAGAAAATCTACATAGAAAGAGTAGCCACACTGAAGCAAGATGTTCTAGGTTAAGGTGGGAATTTAAGAGAAAGCAATGATGAGATGACCAAGCATACAAATTGTGGCAAAGGTTACACATTTACTGCATGGATTTTTTTCTTTTGTAAATATGATAGGTATTTTAGAAATAGGCTGTCCTGTGCTAGAGGACAGTGTAAGATAAAATTAGAGACATCTTACAGTAAGCCAAGAATCAAGATAAAAGCAGAGGAGAAAAGGCCATCCCTGGAAGACATGAAGGGCCCCACTGACCAAGAGTGTTTCTCTTCTGGGAGCCAGGGGCCTGGGGATTGCGCTCAGGACCTCATGGATAGCAGGCAAATGCTCTGCAAATACCCAGCTATATCCCTAACCCTGAACAGTCCTTTGGCTTCCTACCTTTTTAGGTGAGAAAACCCCCAGCGTTCCTCCATCTTCCCGAATGGCAACGCCCATCTCTGCCAACAAGGCCTCTCTAAAAGAGAACAAGCACATCAGAACATCAGAGCCAGAATGTCACATCAGTCAGTCTCATATGAACTGGAAAGTAAAGCATGCAAAGCCCAAACCACTGCCCATGTCCAAAGTTGATAATGCAAATGTGGAATAATGTGCTTACCTTGTCGTTAATGAGAAACTATTTTTAAGAAAAATAGCACATTCCAAATAAATTAAAGTATGCTCCTGTGTTAAAGTTTTCTTTACCCTGACAAGAACTCTGTCCCAAGCCCAGGTGGTGGTGCATGCTTGTAATCCCAGCACTGAGGAAGGTGAGGCAGGAGGATCAGTATGAATTCAAGGCCAGCCTGGGCTACATAGTGAGTTCAAGTCCAATTTGAACTACATAGTGAGAGCCTGTCTCAAAACAAATAAACAAACAAACAGCTCTGTCTTAGGCGGGAGGTAGAGCTCAATGGTGTAGTGCTTGCCTCGTCAAGGGTGGAGGCTTGATCCCCAGCACATCCCTTACCCCACTCTTGTCTCTTCTGCCTTGGAGATAGATACTAATTCATAAACAACACATCTATTAATACAAAAAAAGCAAAGACGGTGATACTCCTTAAGGCTATGCATCCATTTGGAAGAACACTTCTCTAGAACCTTTCCCTAAGAAAGCAATCAGAAAGTAACATGAGTAAATGGAGTATGGTCTATAAATGTGATTTTCTCAAATGTTATTTTCCTGCATCAACCCTCCTTTCGGTTCAAAAATCCTGGCTTAAAATCTCTAAAATAAACAAGAACTTTTTGCAGGGTGCAGGTGGGAGGGGAGCAATGCTAAGGAATTGAACCCAAGGAGTACTGAACTAAATTCCCAGCCCTTTTTGAGACAGGATCTCACCAAGTTGCCCAGCTGGCCTCTAACTTAGGATTCTCCTGCCTCAGCCTCCTGGGTAGCTGGAACACCAGGTGTGCATCATAGCACTCAGCTAAAAACATTCTTATTGTTTGTTGTATTTACTGTATCTGTACATTAGAGTTCACTTCTGCCTCAACTTCTATTTTTTTTTTTTTGGTTACTGGGGATCGAATTCAGGTCCTTATGCTTGCAAGACAGGCGTCTGCCCCAACTTCTATGAAGGGGAAAGACAGGAACTGATTTCTTCAGTACCAATTTACTCCAGTTGCAAGCTAAACTATACCTTTCACCAAAGAAGTTCTAAAAAAGATAACTCTGAAAGACAGTAGTCAGCACACCGCTTTGTCAAAGGCAGCCTAATTTAGGGAAATAAAAAATTCAGGGCTGGGGATGTAGCTCAGTGGCACCATGCCTGCCTCGCAAGCCCAAGGTCCTGACTTTGATCCCCAGTACCAAAAAAGTAAGTAAGTAAATAAATAAATAATTTCACCCAGTATGCTCCACTTTTATGGATCCTCAGCAATATGTAATATGGCAACTATTAAGCATAGGACCCCTAGAGAATCTTCAAATAGAGTTTACGACCTCAATGATGGATCAGATCATCCTAATGGTGCAACCGCTATTAAGGGTTTCTTTGTTCAATGATAATATGTGGTTTACTTCACAGTGTAAATTCCATGTCACAAGTCCCTTGCCAGGTTGGTTTGTATTCTGTGCTTTAGGAGAGGAGGTTCTTTGTTTTCAACTTCTATTTCATCTTGCCTCCCATAAAAGTAACCCAAATTCCCTGGAGAACATAGAAACATTCCCAGATTTTAATGCTCTGACCTCTCCATTCTGATGGCTTCTGTTTTTCGAAGCTTCTCTTCCCAGGTTTCATTCAACTCAGCGATGATCTTCTCTGATTCCTAAAGAAGAAAGTACACCTTTAAAGTGGGAGAATCTTTGAATTTTACATACCATGTCCAGGAAGGAAGGTAAGAAACAGAGGATAGGAGGCCAAAGTCAATAAAGTTTTTCAAAAAATATATACCATAAGAATCATGAAGATTAGGCCTAAAACTAAGTCAGCCCCAGCCATATATATCCTCTAAGTTTTCCTAAAAATACCTGAATAGTGAGTCTGTATGTGTGCCCATGCATGTGTAGGTGGAAGAAAGGTAATGTGGCCATCCCCAAATGCAATATGTTTTTTCTGACAACCACTTCTATAAAAATAAAGTTCAGAAGGAAGTCACTGCTTTTGTCTCACAGTAGTTTCACTATTCCACAATACCCTCCTGAACAGGACCCAATAATCAAGATGGAAGGATTCAGTATTAAATCTCATGTACCCACTGATAAGACAATTTACCAGGCACCTACGGAGTGTTTATTATATACACAAATATAAGAACTAAAACATGATTCCTGTTCTTGATGGGTTTTACTATATAGTATGATTTATTCACTCAATAATTACATATAACCCCACTACATGTGAAGCCCTGCTCCAGGCAAGTAGAGATATGGTAGGGAGAAACTCCCTGCCTTCTTGAGACTTACATTCTAGTGAGGAGACCAAGATAATGTTGATCAGTGAGTACATAGCAACAAAGACAGTGATAAGTGCTCTGGAGGAAAAAAAGAAGGAAGAAAGGGAAGGAATGCAGGAAGAAGGGAAGTAAGTCTGTCAGCTCTGTGAGTAGAGATGGGGAGGATAGATGCTGCCACATGGATGGGCGAGGGAAGAGGCAGGAAAGGGCCTGGAGTTTTCTAGGAAGCAGTTATGCCGTTCGGAGGACTGAGAGCAGGTGTGGGGAGGCAACAGCACGACAGTGCTCTGTGTGCTAGAATCCAGGCACTCACAGATGTCTGTGAGGCAAGTGAGCTGGGGAAGTCCCCCAAAAGGGGATGGGCATATGCAAAAGCAGGAGGAAATGCTTGTCATCAAAAGGAAATCAGAAGTCAGACGGTGATGGCGGTGATAAAAGTAGTGATGGAAACAGTCGTAGTGATTAATGAGGAAGTCTTACAGGTCACAAAATACATTACCGAATGATTCACTAACAGGCTACTGTAAGAAGCCCTGGGATCCCAAAACATAATTATGTACATGGAAAGAACAGTGGGCCGAGGATTTAGCTCTGGTTCCACTGCTAGCCTCATAAGCACAAGGACCTGAGTACAATCCCCGGTATCAAAAAAAAAAAAAAGAACAGTGACTAGTATAATATAGCATAAGGTCTGGCAGGAGTCTTTCCTAGCACCCAGGAATGCTGGGTTCCGTTATCCTTCACTTGTATTATGTACATCTGCATCTCCCAGTATTTATAGAACAAGGGGTAATAACACTTATGTTACACAGCCAAACAATTTCTTCTTGATAAGTCCGTTAGAGGGAGAGAAAAACCCACAGGACAAATCAAAAATAATTTTCATGAAAAAATGGCAGATTAGAGCTGGATATGGTGGTGTACACATGCAATCCCAGCTACTTGGAAAGCTGAGGCAGAGGGATTACAAATTCAAGGATAGTCTGGGCGGCTCAGGGAGATCCTGTCTCAAAATAAAATTTATTTATGTATTTGTTCACTTTTACAGTACTGAGCATTGAGCCCAGGGCCTTCACACTGAGCTATATCCCAGTCCTTTTTTCATTTTTTCTTTTCTTTTGTGGTACTGGGGATCGAACTCAGGACCTTGCACTTGCAAGGCAGGCGGAGGAACCACTGAGCTAAATCCCCGACCCTCATTTTTTATTTTGAGACTCTGTTTTGAGAAACTTCCCAGGTGAGTTGAATTGGCAATCTTCTGCCTTGGCCTCCCAAATGGCTAGGATTACAAGCCTGTGACACCACATCAGGTTCAAAGCAGAATTTTTTTTTTTTGGTACCAGGGATCAAACTCCAGACCTTGCGCTTGTGAGGCAGGCGATGGAACCACTGAATTAAATCCCTGGCCCTCAAAGCAGAATTTTAAAGGGCCCAGACATAGCTCAGTGATGGAATGCAGGCCTACCATGTGCAAACCCCTGGGGTTCACTAAATAAATAAAATTAAAATATATATAATTTAAATGTTGATACTTAAGAGGTTAAATGCTTACTACATGGGCCTTTCCTTGAAGCCGTCAGATAGCCAAGGTTTAACTGTACTAAACACATAAGCAAGTTCTGGGGAGCTCTATGGCTCCTCAGCACTGTACTTGCCCTTGCCTGCATCTGTAAAGGGTATTTGAGGGCATTTACAGACTAAGCTGAAGCAATGGCATTCACAGTACTGACCGAGATGCCAGACTATATATAAAGCCAGAGCCATCACAGTGGCTGCAGCTACATACTTAAACCTCACTGAAGGCAGGTGTGGCAGCACACACCTGTAATCCCAGCACTCAGGGAGGCTGAGGGAAGAGGATCAAAAGTTTGAGTCCCCCCTGGGCAACTTACCAAGACTTTGCCTCAACACTTAAATTTTAAAAGAATTTTTAAGGGCTGGAGGATATTGCTTGATGATAGAGCATCCTTGGGTTCAATCCCCCCCCCCATACCTCAAAGACAAAACAAAACAAGGCCCTACCTTATTAAACAGGAAAGCAAATCAAGGATACATACATATCCAGTCAGCCTAAACTGTGACTTAAAATGAAAAGCAGTTACACAGCACTCTCTTCCCTAAAAGGGTGATAGAGGAATCAAGATATTTATGTCACATATGTGTAAAATTACCATACTAACAACTGATCTTACATCAAAAATGAAGAGAGGCACAGGGAAACAAACTGTTAGGAAAATGAATTTAACCTCTCTATTTTCACTTTCCACGAGAGCATTTCTCCCCTGCAATGTCATGCTTTAGCACACAGTTCTACAGATTCTCAAGTATGTCTGCTGTATGTGACACGCCTGCAGCACTGACATGCAGCTCTGCCCAATGTGTTCTCCCCATTCACAAAGTAAGAGCAGAACTAAGGCGCTTCTGCTCCAGTGAACCATGGCGCTGCACTCAACACAAAACTGCAAAGAAGGGCCGGGGATTTAGCTCAGTGGTTCCGCCACCTGCCTTGAAAGTGGAAGGACCCAAGTTTGATCCTCGGTACCAAAAACAAAAAACAAAAAAACAAAAAAACTGCAAAGAAGTCATTTCTCTCTAGAATAAAGCTAGGGAAAATGGAAGATTTCATTTATGTTGGCTCAAAGGAGAACTGAAACAGAGGGATTTCTGTGCTGATTAAAGTAATACAATTTTGTTTTGTTTTAATGGGAAGTAGGGAGGTGGGAGGAGAGCTCCCTCGGGAGCATTATTCCCTAAAAACTATTTGGAAGACACTGGGTGACCTAATTCTTAAAAAGCTTAGTTAATACCTTGACTCCTAACATTTAACATTATTTCCAGTTGGTTCCACTTGGAATTTAGGGAAACATTTCTCCTTTACAGCAGGATGAATGTCAAACGAAGGGTAATCTCATTTGTGCACTAAGCCTTCTAATAGGCAAAGAGTAAGAGTCAAAATCTGCAAGGAAAAAGGATGTTTTATATTAAATAGTAAGCAGAAGGTTTCACTTCTCCAACCTGGCTCTAAACAGAGCCCTACCCAGCAATGCGTTCCCTGACACCTATTTATGACAAAATTCCTGAATGAAGACACCTTCCTGCATAGGGCTCCACCGAGGTCTTTAGGAAATCCCCAGAGTCAATTTTACCAGCAGCAGAATTTTCCCTGCAGCTTGCAATCTTGAGCAGAAAGATTTCTCACTACCTCTCCCTTTTGCTAGGCATTTCAGAACTTCACTCACTTTCTGAAGGAAAAACAAGATCATTATTTTTCTTTCTGAAGCACCTTCTTTTTGAAGTGAGTAAAATGCCTAGGCCAAGGGTGAGAGGATTAAGAAAGAAAAAGTGAAGCCCTTTCTTCCTAGGAAATTGTTATCAGCCTCACCTGAAAACCGAAAGGAAAGCATGTACATCTTCAATTATCGAGCTTAGTTCACTTTTAGTGGTGAGGGCTGGGCAGAGCTCTCAGTCACTGCCTTTGAGTCCCCGTGGACAGCAGTCTGGGACACTGAAGGAAGGTGAAGAACAGGCCAGCTGAAACTTCCCAGATTCTTAAAAAAGTTTCTTGGCCCTCCTTCCCTCCCCTGCCCTGGCACTCCTGCACACAAAGACCAGGAGGGACGGATTAAAGGTGACAAGTAGGGGGATGAGAAAACACTTGATGGGCAGCTTGTCTCAGCACCAGGATGACACCTGTCTACTCTCACTGTAGTCCCTGAGGGGAGAGAAGAGCTCTGAGCTGGAAAGCTTTGCCACTCCTGACTTTCACACTCATGGGTGACACGACAGAACTGTACAGCCTCCAACAGGCTGGGAGAAACTCCACTGGCAAAGCTGGGACCCTGGGCAGGTGACATCATCATCATGGCCTTGGACCCCACGTGCACCAGCAGTACAGGAGGAGAAGGAGAAGCCCTTCTGCTACTGTAATCAGAAGGCATCAAGGCTTTCTGTGAACTTCCATAAGATATTTCAGGTATAGCTGAATAAACTTGGTATAGCCTCTCAAATGTGCAAGCTGAATTTTAATTGTATATTAATTTTACTAACAGAAGAACGGTTCTTTGAAATTCCACCTTCAAACAAAACCAAGTATTTCTAACTATTTCATTTAAAACTAAATTTCTAATTGAACAATTTCACTGTGACTTATAAGCTACCTCTATATATCTACCTATCAGTCACTTTGTGACCGTCTTTGTCTGGCTAAGTCAAGCATTTTAGTGAAAAGAAATTAACTTACTAAACAGAAAATTCCTTTTTAGAATACTTCTATGAGTTAAAGAGCTCTCCATGTACTAAGTGAAGATTTTGGTGACTTTTAGTACTACTCCTGCCCGGGGAGCTACACAGAAGACCTTGCTTTCAGGCTGAGCAATCACTTACCTTCAGACGCTCAATGGCTTCCTCTCCTCCAGGTGTAGACATGATCCTCTCCTGAATGCTGCTCACAGATGTCAGCCCCACCTGACTACTGAGCGAGCAGGAGGACGGAGATGAAGTGAGGGACCCCATGGATGCTGTGGAGAAATTGCCAGGGCGTTGATTCTCAGAGGCTAGCAAGTATCTATGCTTATTGTTCTGAAAATCTTTCAGATCTGGGAGACAAAGAAAGAAGGAAAGGCAGAAAAAGAAGGAAAGAAGGAAAGGAGCAGAGGAAGGAAAAAAGGAAGGAACACCAGTGTAAGAGAGGAGAGCATTAAAGCGCCAAGACAGACACATTATAATACAAAAGACAAGTTATAACTATTCTAGATGGCAGTTCTAAAACGTGTCTTTTAAATGCTGGTGTCTAAAGGTTAAGTATAAATTCTAAATTTAGAAACTAAAAATTTCTAATGTGGATTAGCACTGTATCTGGTAGGGGGTGATGAGAGCCTCAGAGGTACTGGGCACTCTCCCAGAACAGCCAAATGACATTCTTCTAGTCTACTGTCCCACATGTACAATGCCTTCAGATTTACACTACTTCAAAATTCTGGGGGTTTGTGGGCTAGGGATTTAGCTCAGTGGTTCTACCACCTGCCTCAAAAGTGCAAGGTCCCGAGTTCGATCCCCGGTACCCAAAAAGAAACAAAATATGGGCTGGGGATTTAGCTCAGTGGTTCCACTGCCTGCCTCGAAAGCGCAAGGTTCTGAGTTCGATCCCTGGT